CAATGGATATATGAAGTTCATATATTTTGAACTGCGGTATTAGATACGTATGATGCACGATCCTCGCAGTAGATAGCGCTTTTAATTAATACCGCAGTTAAAAAATATATGAACTTCATATATCCATTGTATCTGATTTATCACTTTCACGGGTTTATTACGAATCAACTTAACGGCCTGCTCCCAGTTGGCTTGTTAGCTCAATTGGTAGAGCGCTGCACTAGTATCGCAGAGGTCAGAGGTTCGAATCCCGTACAGGCCTGATTTTTCTCAGGTCTTATTTTCGCTATTGCATAAATTGCGCTATCTACTGCGAGGATCGTGCATCATACGTATTTAAGTTTACTCATAGCAACAGGAAGTTTTTTCCCTCTCTGGGTAAATAAAAGTTTCAGTTAACAATCAGTGTTGAATCCAAAGTGAGAGTTGTTTCTCTTCCTGAAACAGCGTATTACACACACAAGGACACCAATCACTCGCTGAACCTTTTAACTGAGCATCCCAGATACATCATTTAACAAAATCTTCGTTATACATAAAAATTTTGCGTCAGTACAATCTGGAAAGAGAATTGCCTATCCGGTTTATAACGCTAACAACTTACAAATAAAGAGGTTTTAACGGTCAAGACACTACAGAACTAACCGAGAACAATGGCAACAACTTAATAAACTTACTCCTCATCCGTGATTTCTTCATAACACTCAGAGCAAAAACGCACTGAATTTTCAAAACCCATGATTGGATAAGACGATTCGTTGTTGCTGCACTCGTTACACACTGCTCTTCCACATTTCCGACAATGATGCTGAAACAGAAACCAAACAATGTTTCTTTCTTACATCTTCCTTAAGAGCATAGGGTTAAATATCCTCAATGAATATCAAACTTGAAAACTGAAAGAAGATCTTAAGATACACCATTCCGCACGCAGTTTTCAAATAGATAATTTTGCCTTTGAAGCTAGCCTGATCGTCCTTTCTCCCTCCCCTCTATCGCACTGTTTGTTATCCCGCTTTGTTTTATCAACTGAACGCCTGAACTCTTTAACTTCCAAGATCTGATTGTTACCTTTCCCCTCTAGTTGCCTCACATTTGCTTGTAAATTAGTTACAAGAATTTGATCTTAGATCAAGATAACAACTTATACTGATAAGTTTGAGTATTCTCATTACCTATTTGCTGAATATAGTATGGGCATCAAAGCATTTACTGTAAGAATGATAATCACACCTGTCTGACACCAACAGCTTTTTGGCTCCACATTCCTTTAAAGTTCCAAAAGAAAGGGCCTCCACATCTCTCACATACATCGCTTTGTGACCATTCTGGAGTCTACCAGACAGACAGACAGACAGACAGACAGACAGACAGACAGACAGACAGACAGACAGACAAACTTTATTTTAGCAGGATCATAGTAATAAAAGCTATGCAGCTTATGGGGTCGTGCATAAATACTAAACCTAAGAACAAAATATATACATAATAAGTAACAATATCAAACTATCTAAAAATTAAATTGTTAAAAGCTATGATGTAACCGAAATATAATGGAAATCTTTACGTCTAAAATTTGTGATTTTAGGAATAGTTTTATCCTTAGAAATTAAAATATTCCATAATACAGGGCCTCTATAACCAATAGAGTTTTTACCATAAACAGAGCTGAAACGTGGCACTGCTAAGGAGTCTGACGCTCGTAGAGTAACCTGTAGGGCGTTTTGTCACAATATTATAATAATATTCTCGTCTTAATATTACCAAGAGTGAAAGAACAAAGATCAGAACTGTACAAGAAATCCTCTCTTACATACTTTATTCATAAGAATTTGCATAATGCATGAAACTTCACTGAACTTAACTGAAATAATAGCACAAAATCAGGTAACTGATGAGCCAATTCACTCCTTCAATGACACAGAACGTGGACTCAGTCTGGATCAAATGTTGGTCTGCTGGAGCTAGCCTACACCCCATCCCCCAACCCCAATCCATTCATTAACTGCCACAATTTGCTTTACACCCTAACATCAGTATGCACACTCTCCACATTGTTCTCTGTAAATTTCTTAAGGTGCCGACAAAGAGAATATGTTTAACAATCAAGAGCTTCTTTAGTTGGTGATCATTTCCTTTATTCTCCTGACCTTAATGCATGATTTGGGGGTGTTCTTGTTGAGAGGAATTAGATGAAAATCACTCTTTGGGGCCAAAGAGTAAATGAGAGAGAGAGAAATATGTGTGTGGGAGAGAGTGTCTGTGGCAGAGAGTGCCCTATGAAAGTTAATTCATATCTTGCTAAAATTGTAATGCAATAATTCTGATGAGGGCTCCGTCCACATTTGATCTCCTGACAACAATAAATTGACCAACTAACTGACTCAAAATTGATCAAACCAAATGATCATCTGACTGGTGAGTGAATTCAACTGACTAGTTAACTGTTGGCAACTGAATGTAAGGGTGCTGAGCAAATGCACATGACAGACACACACACACACACACACACACACACACACACACACACAGACACAAACGTTCAGACTGATAGTTCATACCTCTTTCCGTTTTACGTTCATGTCCCAGATCCTAATAATACCATCTTCACTGCAGGATATCAACTTCTTTGCATGTGGAGCATAACAAAGGGACTGAACTTTGGCTCTAAACAAAAACAAACAATTAAACAATACAGCAAAAGATGCTTAAGTTTATCAATGCAGAAGTCATCTAGCGGAAATGAAAGTATCAGTTGCTCAATGCTATCTTGGTTTTAATCACCAAATTCTGTGAATGAACATACAAGAAAATGTATGGCAGCTAGAAGAGAGAATAGGCAATCAGATCTTCAAAAGGTTTAAAGTTATTGGAAGATCTGATTGCCTATTCTCTCTTCTAGCTGCCATACATTTTCTTATATGTTCATTCAGAGAATTTGGTGATAAAAACCAAGATACCATTGAGCATATGATACTTTCATCTCTGCTAGATGACTTAAAATTGATAGATAGGAACATGTTAATCAATTGAAAGGTTAGCTTTAGTTGCACAAGCTTGTATCATAGAAACAAGGTCATTAGGGCACTTTTTTACACATCATGTGTAAGACAAAACAGCACTCTAAGTAACAGGTAAGTACACCAGCATGTGCAATTTAATGAACAAAATTTACTTCCATCTCTTTATTTGAATTCCAACAGCTTGGTAGTAAAAATAACAAAATTTTTTCATGAAGATATGGAGAAATTAGAATTAGCCTATAGGTGAGAGAGATTCAATCCACAAACTACCAAAAAATAAAAATGGCTCCTTACATATGACCATGAAGTTCCAAAGCAGTCCCTTTTTGTCCACCAATGTCCCAAACAATAATAGATTCATCAAAACTACCAGAGAACAACAGTTTTGACTCAGGATCCCATGCTAGAGCTCTTACACTTCCTAAAAACAAAGGGGACAATACTCAACTAAAATAATGGATACTGATAAAGGCAAATTTTAAAATGACCATAACACTCTATTCATTGTTTAATGTAAGAAATACATTAAACATGAATGGGAGACACACTGACTTGTGCATAGGAGTGTAAGACTCCAGATGACAGGGGCCTGGTTCTAGTGTTGACTGCAGCAGTTCTGAGGAAGAAATTCAGCCCTAAGTCCCTTTCTCTTGTCACAGACACCTGGTTTAATGCTGAGACACTCCAGTGAATCTTATCCAGGAGATATAGTTCACCTAACTTCATACTGCAGAAACCATAAGAAGCTGCCAATGAATTGGTCACCTAATTCCTGTTAAGACTTCACCAAATTTTTTTCAAAAAACCAATTTACTAAGTTCTTGAATTTTTGTGGCAGGTTCAGTTGTTTTTTTCCTTTATACATAACACACTAAGATATCAGAAATTAATTTTACTGATAACTACATGTAAAAAGTTCCTAACAGTCTCCAAAACAGCACAGGACACAAGCTAAATCACCTGTGCCAAACCATGAGTGCCATGGGGGTAACTTGCCTGAGTGGCCATTGAGTGTCGTCACCAGTGAAGGTGAACTTGACTCCAGTTTTATAACACTGATGTGGCCACCATAGTCTCCCACAAAGGTGTGTTTGGATTCAGCATCAAATCTGAAACCTGTCAAGGAAGACTGCAGTGCTACAAATACTCAATTTAAATCAGCTACATTAGGGTTTAAGTATCTTGACAATTTACCATAAACATTTCTAGATAAGTTGTTGAAAAAACCTCTCAGGGTTTAGCAGCAGGAGACTGATACAAAGTAACAGGAGAATGTTCTCTTTGTCTGACTCCACCCTTTCACTCCCACGATCAAATACCAATTTTTCAAATTGTTTGCTCAACATTTCTCAATTTTAGGTCAGAGATTTTGGTGTTCAATCAAAGAATATCCCCTTGGGGATATTTATCTTCCTTCTCCTAACCTTTCTGCTTTTAATCGTGTTGATTTTGTCACAAGATATGCATTTCTTTGGTCACTCCTTGGGGTAAAATGTTAATAAATAACAGTTACTCAAGGCATTAAAATATGACAAACCCAAGATAATACTGCTGGCCAGTCACAGAATTTTCCAATGCCTAATGAACACACTCAGAAAATTGATATTTTAATCAAGGACTCCCTTTGTTGGAGATAATTAATTTTCCTTTGTACCCATGAGCTTAATATACAATGCATAATGTCCTAATACTGTACAGGAAAATTGGATGCAATTTGCAAAGGATACTGTAATGATGTACACCATGCTTCAGTTTGAAATCCTCCCAATCTTTTGCCAGTTGTGCAGTCATGCCACTGTAAATATTTATCTCTTCCTACACTCAGTAGCCATTCATTTTCCAGTGAAAACACAATTGCTGTCACTCTGCTCTTGTGCGCTGAATGAAAATAAATATGAAATATGCTGGTGAGTCTTTTACTTAAGCTCATCTGCTGACCCATACCACCCTAGCTTAACTTAGAATTTATAACAGGGAGCCACTCAGCACATTGCTTGCCCCCACCCCACCCCCCTCTCTCCCCACTTTATAGTGGGGCTCCCACGCATGCGTCGCATGCATGGGGCAGAGCCCCATACCCATGAAATGTGGTCAACCTCTTTTTGTTTGGTTGTCATGTGACTGACCGAGCGTACGTACATATGTGCCTTCAGATTGCACAGGTAGGGTAGGGGAGACTATCAAAATGAAGGGAGGGGTGTCTCAGGCAAGTCTTGGCAAATGCACATCTTTTATGTCATCATTAATATTACAAACTTGGGAGCTTTGGTTTTAGGCTTGGCTAAATCTATATATTATTGATTTCATAGCTGTTGTGTGATTATTGTAGTTGACAAAAGTTATACCATGTAAGAAAGTGATGTAAAAGGGAAGTGATGTATAGAAAGGGATCAGGCAGAGGAGAGCTGGTTAAAGTTTCCTTTGAAATCATTTAATACCAAGAACCTGCCTAAAAGAAGCAATCTGTAGGACAAACAAGTAGGACAAGTAAGCCGAAGGATCATAAGTTAAAGTTAGATGTTAATGGTACAGACATAAGTCCTATCACAGCATTATCCTGTTGGGGGTCAATACTGATAACGCTCTGAATTTTTCTGATCATGTATACTAAGTAGTAATTGCAAAAAAAGTAGCCAACGAGTAAGGGTTATTAATAGGTTAAAGAATCTCACATCCCCTGAAGCTAAGTTACAACTCTTCAAGGCTTCTATTCTGCCTCAGTTAATGTATTGTAGCATCATATGGAACTTTTGTAAGGTAAGTGACTCCAGAAAATTGGAGAGAGTACAAGAAAGGGCCCTTGGGGCTATTTATTGCAATAGCATTTCATCCTATCCTGAACTTTTAGAAAGGGCTAAATTACCCACTTTACATAATAGGAAGTTGCAAAACATTGCAGTGTTGATGCTCAAGGTAAAAAATGACTTATGCCCAGATTACATTCTTAGGTTGTTTTCCATCAATAATAAGTACAATTTAAGAATAATGAATTTAAAATTTTCCAAGAGTTTTACCTGTGGTGTTAAAACACCACAGGTTTTGGAAAACATTCAATCAGATACTTAGGACTAGTAACCTGGTCAAAGATAGACAGTAAAATAAAGGAACTAATAACTATAGATGGATTTAAGAGTGATCAGTAAAATAGACCTTAGCTCGTTAAATGAATTTCCTCAAATAATTGCAGTAATAAACAATTATTCACTGAAGGCAAGGTGAATATCGTCGAATAATCCCTGAGATGAAGTCGAGGGGATTATTCGACAATATTCACCGAACCTGAGGCGAATAATTGTTTTTGTCTAATTTCAGAGCAGAACAACAGAGAAATTTCTAAAATCATAACATTTTAGTAACATTTATTAACACTTTATTTTAACATTTTATATAAACCAGGTAGAGTGGTTTATATAGCATCATATAAGGAACCGCTCGACCAATCAGATTGCTGGAAACTCTTTGCTCAGCTCTGAAATTATACTAATTCTTAATATTAGTTATAGGTTAATTTATATAGCTACTTTTATATAATACATTTAGTAGATATATTTTATTGTAATCTTATATTTGCATTTTTTAGGCTAAAAAAGGATGGGATATAGGAGAATTACATGGGAAATATAGGGGGGTTATTTATTTTAATTTATTAACATTGTAGATAGGTGTCCTTACTTAGTGGGCAACTGCTGTCATCTTGACACGTTAATAAAGTTATTATTATGTCCCATTCCAGGACAACTGCATTACTCCTATCACCCTATAGAATTTGAAAATGGACTTTGGAGCCAGGCTTTTGGATGGTTTGTAAGGAAACTTGAAAACAATTGTACATAAATGTATCCTTTTTAACCTTTTCTTAGTAAAAAGTGTCAAAAAGTCATAAGTTTCAGTACATACAAATATCCAAAGCAACCCTCCACCATTTGCTCCATTTTGTGTACTTACCTAGATACTTTCTATTTGGGTGAAGTCTGTTAAAATCCTCAGACACTTCAAACTCCTGTTCAGATGTAAAATTCATATTATTCAAGTTTTTTTCTTTTGCAATAATTGGAATAAAGACAACTATGCACTTTAAGAAGCCTTTCTTGCCTCAATGCTGTACCTGCTTGAAATTGTTTATGGCTGAAGAAACATTTTGTGCCAGAATTTAATTTTAGTAATACTCTGCTCCTCGAGTTTAGAATCAACTATCTGAATTTAATAATAATGATAGCAATTTTGATGAAATTTCAAGGAAAAAGTTTTCCAACACTCTTCCATCTAGGCAGCAGCCCTAAGGATTTACACAATATTGGCTGTACTGTTGATCGATTTCAGCCTGAGCTGATCACAATTTGTATGCACTTACGGAAATTGCTCCATCATCCAGTCCTACAAATAATCTTCTACTTGTTCCATGATAATCTAAGGCTGAACATTCGGCTAAAACAGAAATCAGTTGAATACTTGTAACAAGATTTCATCCAAATATAAAATGCGTGTAAATCTTTACCAACAAGAACTATCATAATTTTGCATCATCAACTGACGAGTAAGATCACTCGCACCTAACTTATCAAATAAGTAAGTTTTAGAGACGGTAAGCAAACGTTAGCTAGCAAGCAAACAGATGTCTTCGAGCAAAAAGGCTATAAATCAATCTCTGAAATACACAAAGGAAATAAAAAAAACGCCATCTGGAGATAGATGTAGGAAACTCAGCTGAGGGGTAATCAGGAACACTTTCTCCAAACTCACAATCCATTACATGGCAGATACTTGGCCAATATTGTCCACTTTCTCGTTTGATCCAAAGCCTTATACTCCTGAAAAAGAAACACAGCACATGCAAACTAACCCGGTACCTTAACTTAACACGCATAGGAGACGAATTACAATAAAAACAATCGAAAATGGCTGAACATTCCAAACATCGATCGTAGAGCAATTTCCACTCACTTGTCGTCGGAAACACTGATTACTGCATCTTCGTGTGGAATAGTAACGGCCATATTAACTACATCACTGCATCCTTCCAGCTTATTTACCAATGCAGCTTTGATATGTTTCCCTTTGGGCCTGGAGGAGTCTTCTTCTGGATCTCTAATTGTGGCAGCCATTTCTGCTTACTCAAATTAAGGTGATACCATGATTTTCCCATCATGCAGCAGACTGGCTTACACCGGAAGTGATCTGACAAAAACTTCATTTAGTAATCGATTATTTTAGAACATTAACAGAAATCGAATAATTGCAATAAAGTCCAAGAAGGCTCTATCTATGGTGTCAAAAAAACGTTAGAATTGTATTTTGGGGCAATGTCGTGGTACATAGCCGTATGTTTGGAGCGAGGCAAATGTTAATGAGGTCCTTATTTAAAGGGCTTGAACAAAGTTTCATCACAGATATTATTATCCAACTACATCTAGACGAGTACAAATAACGCCATAGACGAGTACAAATATCACGCGGTATTTGTACTCGTCTATTGTAGAGTACCGGTTAAACAGGTTTTCTCGCATCGCGCAAGCGAAGAATTGGAATGTAGTTACAAAAAAAAAAACAAATGGCGGACAATTTGAATCATATTACCGACGACGAAGAGTCAGAATGGCTGGCAAACATAGATCCAAGTTCATTAGATGCATCGAACGAAGAAAAGCAGCTTGACGACCAGAAAATTTCTTCATTTAATGAAGAAAATAAAACAGCAACACAACAACGTGCCAATTCCGTTCCGCTTCGCATACTTCTGTCACGCACTCCCCGTAACTAAATATCCGCGAAATTCCCCCGCACTGAAATAACAGTTTGGCGTGTTGGATAATAAATAACTTATTAAACGTTTTGTTGTGTAGTATCGCTGAGTATTTTTACTCGTTATTTGTATTTTGACTCGCTCTACGGGCTCGTCAAAATACGGCACAACTCGTAAAAATACTCAGCGATACTACACAACAAAACGTCTAATAAGATGTATATATTCTTCATGAAAAAATCAAGTTCTGCCGAAACCTACGAATGGTTTTAGGTATTGAAGTAACGTTACAGAGCTGCATCATGCGCAATAAGCGTGAGTACAGAGTGAGATGTAAAAGAGCGTGATTGACAACGTGACCTCAAACGTGACAAAAAATAATTTGTGAGCATGATCAGTTGAGAATTCCAGCTGACTTAGTAGAGCCTGCAATACAAGCATCTGTTCAAAATGGTGAGCCTTTTCAATATTTTCCTCTAGGTGGAAGTTACTACTTCTTTCATTTAAGAGTTTCGAAAAAGTACACAAAAAGGAGGCTAACCTCACTGCTATATTTAAGTTTCAGTTTATGCTGCTTTTCAGCCGTCAAGGCAAACTTAGACTTCAGAAATGGTACACGGCCTCTAGTCAGAAAGAGAAGAAAAAGATTACACGGGATTTGATCACGACTGTTCTTGCTCGGAAACCGAAGATGTGCAGTTTCCTTGAATACAAGGACCTAAAAGTTGTATACAAAAGGTAGTTTAAGGCAGCTACGATATTTTTAGACAAGAAACTAAATGTTTGAAATGTGTCCCTTCGATGGTTAAAATGATCGACTTGCAACTTTTTCACTTATTACTATGGTCTGAAAAGGGCAGGTGATAGATTGACCAACTTGTGCCTAGGCTTCGGCTAAACAATTAAAAATTTTCGACCAACATTGTATTTGTTGCAAACAACGTTATAGGATAGCAATATGATAAAACATTTGCTCGCGATTAGAATTTTGGGTGAAATTGTTTGGTCTAGATCAAACAAGTGAATCTGTCAGATTAAATATTGAAAATTTGAGAGAGACGGCCAAACTAGTAAAACATGCCCTTCTGACATAAGGTTGGACGAAAATTTTTTTATTGTTTAGCCGGAGCTTTACGATTCCTTTGTTGCATTTGTACATGATGAATAACTCTGCACACTTTGTGTACCATGCATGTGTATATATGATAACAAATGAATAAAGGCTGATAGTTTCTAAAGAAACTGTTTGGGGCTGCGTCGGTGGGGGTAATGAAATAATTTGAATATATCAACAAAGTTGAAATGGTAAATTGGCCACCGTTACGGTTAACGGTGGCCAATTTACCATTTCGACTTTGTTGATACATTCAAATTATATATGATAACAGTTGTAGTTCTGTGGAACACCCACACTTTTTCAAGTATTTTCAAAACAGTTTAGTTTCTTGCTACATCCTAGAAAATAGGACGATAAATTGATAAATTGTGTGTTACTGTTTGTTGTGAAATGGTTTACCTTATAATAAGATGTTAACTAAGTGACTGAATATGTTAAATTCCAAGATTTTTTCTCCTGTATTTCACAGATATGCCAGCTTATATTTCTGTGTAGCCATAGAGAAAGATGACAATGAACTCCTCACTTTGGAGATAATCCACAGATATGTTGAGCTTCTGGACAAATATTTTGGAAGTGTAAGTACAATGATCACATATATAACTGTGACTGATCAAGCAAACCTGGTGTGACTCTTTTTTTTGGTTTGTTTATATTAATTTTTCTCTAGGTTTGTGAACTGGACATCATTTTCAATTTTGAGAAGGCCTACTTTATGTTGGATGAACTGATTCTTGGAGGAGAGATCCAAGAAACAAGCAAGAAAAATGTCCTGAAAGCAATTTCAGCCCAAGATCTTCTTCAGGAGGTAGGTTGAAACCTTCTCTTCTGACAAAAAGTTACAATTATTATACTAGTTTCAAAAACTTGCTCCATTGTTTTTGAAGGTAAACCTTGCTTGTTTCCTGCTGCATTAGTGTTCTATTAAGTACTCTAAAACCAAAACCCGAGGTAATGACCATCCAAAACAAATCCAAGTATCCTAAGGAGCTAACAAGAACTCAGATTATTTAAACAGAAAAGGCCTAAGTGTGGAAAAATACTGATGACTAAGTCAGAGTTGCTGTTTTGATTTTTGTATGATGTGATTGGTTGCTGTGGCTCAACTTTTTAGGCCAATCAGAGAACACGAGGAAGCAAATTAAAGACAATGAAATATTGCAGATCACTTTTGACACTTGAGTTGAATTTACTAAATCAACAAAACTTAACATTGTCTGCAAACTGTGAGAAATTTTGTAACAATACTGTCATCCTTTATGCCATCTCCATTCTGATGAAATGATATGTTGTATGTATGATATTTTCCATATATTGAGTGTGATTGAGTGTATACATACCGTACATTGATTGCTATCTTTGTTCAGTTTATCTGACTGAATTATATATCTAGCAATGGGTAAACTTCAGAAGCTTAGATAATCCTATTAAAGACTTGTCTTATTCAAATGAAACTATTCTAGTACAACAGTGACATTGTTTTTAAAAATGTATTCATGTTTGCATTGGGTCTCTTTGTTGTTTATTGTGAGATATTTGAACTGTTTTAAATGTATTGGTCCTATTAACTAGATTAGAGTTGAAAAAAGTGAATAACTTAAAAATGTTCAAGTTAAATTGCAACTGGAATAAAAGCTGTTGCACATAAGCATTTTCCAGAGATATATGTGCTGTAAATAGAGAAGTTTTACTCAACTTTGTGGTGAGAAAAAGTTTTGATACTAACAAACAGAGGTAAAAGGATTTAATTTGACCTATTTAACTACCTTTCAATCATTTTAACATTTTTAAGTAACAGAATGTTATAATCATAGAAGTGACAAAGTAAAAGTAAATTATAAAATGTATTACATACATCAATAAATGAACCAGTGATTCTAAAATCTCTTTTTGTTAAGTTGCTTTACCATTTTTTAGGTGTTTTTTTTTTTTAAGCCTTCTGTGATTTCTTTGTCTGTGTTTACACCTAGACACAAGTCATTTTGTCTTCACCAATGTCAACATGCAAATTATTAAAATCACACTTCATGTCTCATTTGCAATCTTATAAGGAAGAATGTGGATATGTGTGAGGTGAAATGGGTACTGTTTAGCATTAACTTTTTTTTTTGATCAATTACATCCCTAAGGAGGTGATTAAAAATAATCTTAACCATTTACAACCATTACAGAAATCCTGGTCTTTATCACCATTATAATTGGCAAGGGAAGTAGCCCATTGGGTAATGTGAAGCACTATGGATTGAAATGTCCATGTTTGGGGTTCTGACCAGTCTCATTGTTTGTATTCTTGGCCAAGACAATCTGTATTCTCACAGTGCCTTTCCTCACTCAGGAGTATGGAAAACACATCAGTGAATTGTCAGGGAAACCTGATGAAACACCAAGGGTAACTAATTATCAACTAGCATTCCATCCAGGCAAAGGGTTAATACCCTTATTTTTTATGTTGAAGAAATTGAGGTGAGCTAGGGCAACAGTGTGTTTCAGTGTTGGCATGGAGGTGTACTTTAATTTTCCATAGCACCAGCAGATAGTTTCACATTCCTACTGACATCTAAGTGCCCTTTTTATCTTTTCTAATTCTTTCCTCTGAGCTTCCTCTTTGCCTTGCTTTCATACTTTTTTCCACAGGAAGCAGAACTGCGCAGTGCTTTGGAGGAAATGGGTCTTGCCTGAGTTCTTTCATCTGTAAAATCTCTACCTCTGATACTTTTGTTCTACAGGAAGGTGAACTCCAGCGCACGCTGGAAGAAATGGGTCTGGTCTGAACTCTCCTCTCTGCTGCTTGTTCAGCATCTCGTCTAACTATCTTCACTTCCACGAATTCTTTAACTACCATGATGGTGTGCCTGGCACAACTCAAGATGCTATGTATCATGTTTAACCTGGGTTTACTGTGAAATAATATATATATAACTATATATTAGTCAAATTAAGTACTTAAATAGAAACTTAATTTTTTTTCCAAAAGGATGTATACCAGTCTCTCTAGTCTAAATGTACTACACATTTTTTCTCTAATTATAAAAGAAAAGTTATGATCAAGAGATTTTCAGCCAAATGTAGTTTGAAGTATTTTTAATGCCTCATATTTCCTCTTTGCTTTTGTAATGACTACTGGAACAGATAACAACATTCTAAAGGTTTTTTTTTTTTAATCACTCAAGAGTCATTTCAAATTTATACAGTTAAAAACTAATATAAAATGTAAAGTTAGAGGTATTATTTAATTGACATGAAATATATAGTAGTTTAAAAAAATTTGTGTTGTACATGATAATAATTACCAATTTATGAAACTCAATATTATCCTCTTAACCCTTTGATTCTCAAGATCTGAATTTCAATTCTCCTTTCTAGCTGCTACACATTTCTTTGTAATTAAGTTACAAGAATTTTATGTTAGATCAAGATAACAACTTCTACTTGATAAGCTTGAATATTCTCATTACCTGTTTGCTGGATATCGTATGGATATCATAGGGAGAAGTTACATGTTAATCAATTCTGGGAGTTAGAGAGTTGAGTCATGTAGAGAGCAAAGTGTACTTTAACTGGTCACTTGATTTGTAAGAAATAGTAAAACAAAGCAATTCAAGTAATACTCTGCACCTTTTGCAATGTTTTAAAACTCCAAACAAAACCTGAGTTATCTAAGCCAACCAAATAGGATTCTAAAAGTCTGTATTGAAGCACTTCTAACAGTGATTCCCAAAACCTTACTGTTGTAGTTCATGTGGCTTTGTTTGTTCAACAGGAAGGGGAACTTCAACGTACATTGGAGGAAATGGGTTTGTCATGATTGTCCAAGTTGCATGCTGAAGGGAGGGAGGCTGGTGTAATTAGCAATAGGGACCTGGTCTTTGTCCCTGGCAGGGTGGGACTCAGTCTTTTTTCTTGGCACTCTTTCAACTCTAGCAAAAATTGAAAAAATAATTAATTCTAAGCTAAGGTAGCTTGTTGACCGAATAAATGGATGCTTCAGACCCTCGCGTTTCCTTTATCAGAAATCCTTCAATGCCCCGTATCTCTACAGTAAGTTTCTTAGTCAGTGGTTGAATTCAACAACAAGATTGTCATTCATATGCTCTCAAGCAACGAAAACGTTGTAAATTTGTACTAGTAGTGTTATCAAAGCTATTAATAAAAAGTTGAAATTAATAGTTTGTCTCATGTGCCTTTATGTGAAATACATTTCCTTAGTGCTGCGGCCTTTAATTGACCAAAGTTTCCAATACTTGAAGCAAATAAAAGTACCGCGTTGCCACGTAATTGAGATCCCATTCCAATGCAGGCAACCTCTCTCAGCCTCCCCCACCCCCCACTTCACATCTCTTCATATTCCACGGTGGAGAGTCACTGACCTATCATACCAAGCGGGTTTAGCACGATAAAATACAAAGCCTATTTATATTCTGTGGAATGTTTCGTGTCGAATCATGAGAACTCCATGCAGACTGATAGCAACTTTCTAGTATTTCATCGCACCATGTACATTTATGGTATTTCTTGCTTGTCCAAATCGTGTACCTTGACGAAGTGATAAGGTGGTCATGAAGAGGATTATTGGGGGAAAATGGAACCACCTACGCTTTACAGCTTAAGGAAATCGTACGTATTTTAGTTACCATGGTACGCAATCGGTGTTTAAATTTTTGTCCTTAAATATCTTATGAAGATAAGAGGCCATTGACCTTTTCTGGAAGTATGCTATCATTTTGGGAAAGAAGATCCAATCTGATTTATTCCTCGAATTAAAGCACACGCACGGCCTCTTATTCGGGTGACAGCAAGGAACACGTCTTGTGGAGTTTCTTGTAACCATCGTTACAAATTAGACTTCTTACGTTTCCGTCAGCTGTTCTCTCCACTTACGCGTGTTAACAATTTCACAAGTTTTATTAAATCGCAAAACACGTGTCAAGAGGTCTGTTTAATGGCTATGGATTTAATGGTCAATGTTTTAATCGAGAATCATTTCAAATAAAGTAACGATTTCTTTATCATTTAATAAGTGACATTTGATTACCACAGAGGGCTCTCTTGGGAAGCCACTTATTTTTTAAGTGATCTCAGCGGATTTTAAGTAAATTAATTTAATTTGATTAACTTACGTAAATTGGGCAAACATACGTTGACAGTCTATAAAGTTAACAATCAAAAGAATTTACTCCTTGATAAGAAGTGCCGATCACGTTTTCTAGTAACTGAGGAGCAAACAGTACTCATGGGTTAGGATTCGGGTAAGACTGAAGCGCAGGTAAAGCTGACTGATAAGTGTGACCGAGATGTTTTTAATCTCGGTATCTAGGTATATTTTATCATGTTGTGTTACAAGTCTGTATACACTACAAGGTGACGTAAAAGGCGCTGGAGCGGGTCACGAAGATTGAGAGGCTAACCAAAGGTTCCGGAACTGAAGTTATTAAGTTTGGGTGAGTGACTTCAAAGAACTCCACGATAAATGTGACAACTCCATCACCAGGTATTTACAACTACTCTTTCGTGCCAGCCTAGAACGAATTTCCAGTCTAGTCTTCACTTATTTAGCGGTCTCGTGAATCGGTCCTACTGTAGTTTGTTCTCCTTGAGCACCGGAAACGTGGAATTCACGTCATTAGAAAAACAAATCAGCGGGTAACAGGCTGTCGTGGGGATTTTTTGCATTGTAACGTCACGAATGGAAATGAACGAGGTCACGAAATGAGTAACAAGCACGAAATTGTCTTAACACCGAGAGGGCGCTTGCTTTGTTAAGACATGCAGAGACGTGGCAATCCTAAAAAATGTCTTAAAATAATTTATTCCTACAATATGCATATTTCTAAGAATTGTGGTGACTAAATATTCATGGAACAATTGAGTATTGGAGATAGTCCAAGAGGCAATTAATTTTGTCTTCCGAGACAGGGGTTTGCGTAATAAGTCATCATAGTAGATGTGTACTGCGTTGTACTGCGTAACTTGATTAGCGCCACTAGCAACTCAAATCTGTAAATAAACATTGCCTTATTTGAACAAGTCAGCGCTGAAGACGGATTATTGTGGATAAAACTACCTTGATGGGCGATTCATGTCAATAGAACCACATACACCTGCATATTTTTACGATACAACAAGAGGCAAAAATGATTGCGCTTGATTTGGCTCGAGTTCTGCATGTTCGCAGGTCGGAACGCATTCAACCTTGAAAAGCAAAAACGTCAAGTACCCGTGTCACCAAAATATGTAAATAACAATTTCTTTAGAATGGCATACTTCGAAATTTTAAAGTCAAAATTTTGATCTTAACGTTTCTTCTTGTTTTTCTTCTTGCCCTGACGTTGCGAATCATCGGCTTCACGATTTGTGTCCAGTTTAAGTGCATGTCCAAGCTCTTTTATGTGTTGGAACATTTTATTTCTTGTCGGAAATGAACCTTGGCACACGTTGCACTTAAAAAAATTGGCTGATGGCTCTTTACTCGCTTGAGGTGAATTTTTATTTCCTTCTTTGGGTTTTCTTTTCTCTGTGACGGCACCAGTCGTCTGTCTATCGCCCCCAGATTCTTGTGATTCCAAGTTCTCTTTCTCGTCTTCCGTCTCTTGATTATCAATATCAGTTGTTGTTGTTGTTGTAGCGTTTGACAAAGATTCCCTACTATCGTCTTCATTTACGTTTTCCTCGCTCTTTTCGTTGCCTATATTTTCATGTGCCTCTCGTTCCCCTGATTTTGCTTCATTTCCATTGCTCTCTTCGTTGTTGGCTTCTACCTCTTCCCCTCCCCCTTCCAAATCACCCTCTCCGATTCCTGATAAAGCTCGTTTCCTCTCGTGCAACACTTTTACTTTATACCGATTGTTACCTTTAATTCTCATGGTAGACAGATCTACGGAGTCCATCAGATCTAATTCTCCAACACTCACAAAATCTGTGCCAGTCTCGTCGACACTATGCTGTCTCTTACTAAAATACTCTGATTCTGTTCTGGTATCGTAATATTCATTCACGCCATTTTCTCCATTAAGTAGCGCAAGCTCATCGATATCTTCACTGTCGGCCATTTCTCGTTTGATTGCAGCGACCTTGTCTTTGTGTTTCCGCGACTTCTCGTGGTTAACTAGCGCCTTCTCTGTTTTAAACGCTTTGTCACAAGCCACACAATAATATTGTTGTACCTCCTCTTCATCCGATTGGCTGTCAATGATGTCATTATCTCTGCCGAATTCACTGTCCAAATGAACATTCATTTGGACCAAGTCCTCCTCCAATCCAGACAAGGAGGCCCAGCTCTCTTCCTTGTACGCTTTCAACATCTTCTCCCGTTCTCGCAAAGCTTCCAGACGTTTTTGTTCTGTAATTCGCTTCCTTTCCTCGTCTTTTTCCCTAAGCAACTCAAGATATGCTTTGACGCGCTTGTCCCTTTTACGAACGAATTTTACCAAGGCGCGAACTTCTTCATTTCTCTCCTTCTTCACGGCATCTCGGATTTTCTTGTTATCTTTTTCCATCAACCTTTGAACTCTTCGATTGGGTGCCTCTCTGATGTCGTATTTCTCCAACCAGACGTACGATTTCAGAGTCGAGTAGCTCTGCCAGTAAGCATAAAAAGGTTGAACAACTTCCTCATAATCACTCGTGGATGTTCCAAACTCAGGTACATCCAGATCTTGACCATCCGCAAATTCAGCATCTTCTTTCGTTATAATTTTGAAAACATTGGTATAAACCGCATAAAATCCTTGTTCGTCGTCTCCGAAACCGCAATAAACACTGGCGCTGAAGTACTTCATCAAATTAATACTGTTGTCTACATAGTCATCTCCTCCCCTGATGATTTGTTCGCGATGTTTATCATACCATGCTCGCTCCTGTGGGTCTATAAGCACTTCATAAGCTTGTTGGATCTCTGTAAAGACTCGGGTACTTTCCTCAGAGTTGTCAGTGTTTTTATCTGGGTGCCATTTCAGAGCAAGTCTTCGGTAAGATTTCTTTATCTCAGTATCACTAGCATCTCTTTCGACCCCCAATACTTCATAACAACAGCGCGGCATTTCAAGATCGTGACTCTTAACAGATAGCTGAAATAAAAAAAAAGTTGTTTTCGTAATTTTGATTCCTCTAGGGAAAAAAGATCCCGAAAAAATAATTTTTTGTAAGTGGCCTTCTCATACCACGTTTTCTGATGATGGCGAAATAAATATGGCGGACAGCTGATAACGCATGCTTACGTGACCGCTGATTAAAAGATTGACGTTGCAAAATCAGTCGCTAAGCAACGGCTACGCCAGAAGCCTCAGTCAAACTGCCTTTCTTCTGTCTCTTCATCTGAAGTTATTGCTGTCTCTCTCTTCAGGTTATATTTGGATTTCCTTATCACTGAAAATTAAGATGCATAGAGCCTACCAGCCAATAACGCCCGCCAATAACAAGCTACTAAAGAAAAGATGGGACATGAGCAGCTATAACACGCACAGAAGAAAGGTTTGCTTCTGTTCCGTGTGCGTCCAAAATTATTTCGCGGCACAAACCGCGGTTGGAGTTTATTTGCTTTTATGCCTGGTCTGATGCTTTGTATTCTTTCTAGGTTCAGTCTGCCAAAGCAGTCATTGACAACAAACCTCCCCAGACTTATATGCATTTGCATCTAAAGTTAAAGAAGTTACAGGTATTGTGAATGTTAGAATAGTTTGGATTGCATGGCACAATTGCGCAAAATAATTTTTTCGTATCCCACCTACAGATAACGCAGCTAAAGTTGTGTCAACACACATAGAGAACTCTCTGTCTGATTAGATAGTATACTCAAAAGGGGTTTGTATTATATTCAGGTGATTTTAAGCAAAGATTGGAATGTAGAAGACATACGTGCAGATGCATAGTTGTTAATTCTACGGGTGATTAGCGGGTATTGTATTTACAGTAAATTGATGTTTGATGCAAAGTAGTTAAAATTGCGAAATGAATTGTGAGCTCTAATCGTCCAGTTTGTGGTATAAATTTCTTAGTATCCAGCTGTTTAAGATTTTTGTATCTTTTCATCTTTTAGCGCTTTATTTCTCACAGAGTTGTCGAAAATCGCCAAGGTATTAAGATGTTTTCACGCCAGCTGAAACATGACGGGAAGAATTCTACAGTTTGCTCTATTTGTTCAGAGTCAAGTTACTAGTTGAATTGATGAACTCACTTCCCCGTGTCATCAGAATAATCTGCTCACACAAGAATATAGCTTTGTCTTCATAGAATATTTCTTACCGCTTTTGAAATGGAAATTTTGATCGAACAAAGCGAAGCAATGTCCAAAAATGTTGAAATCTCCCTAGCACATTTTTTCTGTGCGCGTCGAAGCACGAAGGAAATAATTTAGCTATGCTAATCAACAAACAAAAACAATTCACTTCGTCGTTAAATGGAAACCTTTTTCAACGCGCCATCAATTCCCGTTTCCAAGTAGAAAACTTGTACGTGAACAAAGCCTGAAGTAAATGAATTTAAGGGTGATCAAATTTCGGAAAAACAAGTTTGAGTTCATTTTAGTCCTCTCCATTAATTACGTATTGCTAAATTTAGTTGATATACATCTCTATTTTTGCATGTGGTGTATTTTTGAAAAAAAAAAAAAGTTTCTTTTGAAATATATATTTTCCGATGCATATTATAAAGAACTTTTAATCTCCTTGGCAACGGTTCAGGTATTTTGTTATTATCCTTAAACAAAGACCAAAATAATTTTTTTAGGTGGAGGAAGAAAGATTAGCCACTATTGAAAGAGACAATCGTATTTTGCTGGAAAAGATGTCGTTTGTAATGAGGACACGAGGCAGAGTTGACAACAGAAATGATTATGAACACAAGAGTCTGAACAAGACAAAGAGACAAAGAGAACTACTCAGAGTTACCCACGAAAATCAAGTAAGGAGTCATGAGAAAAATTTTCACATTTTATTGAAAAGGTCTTTGACTGTGAACAGTACCTTTGTTCTTTCAAAAGAGTTAAGCTAAGGTGTCCCCATGGTCAAAAAATTTTTGATTTTGTTTTCAATTTCTTTTGTGAAGAGAAAATTAAATGACCGAGATTCCTGGTTACACTGTAAGCTGCCAGATGGAAGGGGGAGGGGTGAAATTTTTCACAGTCTTCCACCCTGCTCTGCTACCAAAACCTTTGACTTTCATCTCCCATCCTGCACTTCAAAACACTGCCAGTTCTTTGGCAATCATTAAAGATTAAGTGTTAAAAGTGCTAGCTTGCTCTCATGTCTATTACAAATGACAAGATAAAAATTCACTCATTTAACTTAAATTCTCATTGATTTTGTTATTATTTTTGCAGGCTATTTTGAAAAGGATAACTGCAAAGGAACCCCATTACAATCATCTTCAATGGGTAAAGATGAGTAGAACTCTACTGTACAATTATTTTATAGTTTGTAATCATGTTGAGTAGACAGATATTTCAAACATTTCCACTTCATATTAGAGATGGGACTTTTTAGTAGACATCCCAAGAAACTGAAGGCTTTCGAGTCCAACCTTGAATTGGTGGAAATTCTGAGGTGGGTAGAGTCCCTGGTTGGATTTCAACCTTTAACTTTAAACTGAGTATCGCTGACTTCAATTTTCAGGAGGATGAATGGCAAATCAATGAAACATATATGGACAATATTTCCAAGTATCCAAAAGATTGGTATAAACAGCTGACAGCCAAGAAGAAGTCCAAGGAAGGAGACAAAAGTGAGAGGACCAGAGGAGACAAGAGGCACAGTTCATATTCTGTGGAAAGTGGAAAGGATGGCAAGAGCAAGCCTGAACCATCTGACAACGATGAAGGCACAGACAGTGGAAACAAAGCTGAAAAAGACAAAGATGCTGTTACAGAATAATGAGACATTACTTAATTTATGAATTATAAGAGTGCATTTTTTAAATTTTATTATTTTAAAATCCCATGTCAATTGTACATAAGGTTTTATATCAGAGTGTGATAATTTGAATTTTATTACCTTTGTATTTTTTTGTTTTCTTTTAAAAAGCAATTTTTTTTCTTTCTCCTGACATAAAAGCCTGTGCCTTTATGGATTTCTGCTCTGTAAGAAGAGGAAAGAAAGTGAACTTTTTTTCCACTTAAATGTATGGTAAAAATGTATTTGTCTATGTTAAAAACAATACCTTTGTACCTGCTGAATTACTTTCTGCAGCTTTGAATGGTCAAACTAATTTTCTATAAGCTGAATTTTTGCGACTTCTCAGTAAAGGACAACAAAACTATTTTCCACAGTGTGACAATGAAGCCTGAGGCTGACAAGAAATAAAGTGTGAACAATCCCAAAGCTTGCATTTATTTATTTTTTGACAATTTTGACTTTGATCAAGGTGAAGCAGCAAAACTTTGAATTTAGTTGGAATTGCCTATATCAAGGTATTTGTGAAGGAAGTGGTAGGGAAAATGGCAAATTTTGTCTGAAAAGGGGGAGAATGTAATACCTGGGCAACACACTCTTACAAAGAATTCCCTACACATCTAAATTCCTACCCTCGAATTAGAAAACTCTTAGCAGCTTCATGGCACAGAAACCATTTGGATTCCTTTTCTCCATGGAGAAAAGGAGTCCAAAAGAACAATACCTCCATGATCAGACCTGACTAGACTTATCCAAAGGGAATAAGTACAGGTAGACATGCTTAAAGCGAAAACATGAAAATGTCTGAAAAGCATTTAACATTTATTTTTTTCTTATGTTAAACAAAAAGATGCTAACACATTTCTGGGGGAGTTTCCAATATTGTACTCAACAAAACACCATTGCTGAAAGGTATTTACTAGTTTGGAGAGTGCAAAACAGAATTCTGTAGTAATAAGATTTCCAACATCTGACCCGTTAACTACCAATTTCTAATAAACGAGCATTCCCTCATTCTGGTCACTCTATTTTTCGCGGTAAATAAGTCCAGAAGATGTGGTGTTACATCAAGATAGCATTAGATGTAAGGCCATGATAAATTTGTTTATTCTCATCATGTGTTTGCGGGGTAATATATTGCAATTGTGAGGAGAAGTTACCCAGCTAATGTCTCCTGAGAGTCAGTAATACTTGCTGCTATTAAAACAGGTAACTCGTTGGGATAAATTTGAACAAAAAAAAAATTCAAGTTGTAGGGGTTAACTGTGTACAAAAATATAGTAAACTTGAAATAAGTGATCATGTTTCAAGTATTTTGTATGAGCAATTTCTTGAAAAAACTTTAATTGACAGTGTCTTCTGCTTTGTCAGTGGAACTTCAATTGACTCAGTAAAATAAAATGCTGCAGCAACAATAATCAGTCAAAAATCTCTCTGCAGACTGAAAGACAAATTTAAAAAGAACCTCCCTTAAAAAAGATATCAATTTCTCTCTTTTTATGGTACATGTGTGCATCAGTGCCACTCCACATAGATGGTACAACTTTGTCATGGACAAAAAGACTTACTTGCCATGACAATTGGCAAATGTGGAGCACACCAATAATGCAATACATTTAAAAAGGCACGTTACTATGCATCTCGCTGACATGCAAACTATATACAATTGGAGAAGCATCACTAATATTAAGCATACACTGATATTAATTGCATACCTGACAATAATAATAATAATAATAATAATAATAATAATAATAATAATAACAATAATGATAATAATAATAATAACAGATTATTATTATTATATTTAGGTATTTCGGATACCCGAAATACCTATTTTTTTATTTCTCGAGGGTTTTTTTTTTCACTACAGTTAACGGGCTACGCCCATGCGCCCCATCATACTATTCTTACTGTATATAGCATACAAAAGTTTTAAACTGCTGCATAATAATAGTAATAATAATAATGAAAACTACTACTAACTGCTAGCTGACTGAACAACACTTGGCATTCCTTTGTCTGAATTTTTTTTTTTTTTATTAGTTACTAGTCATATAACACAACCTTAAAGTGCACCATGTTTACCAGAAAACTGAACAAATGTACATCTTAAGTAAGACATAAAAGTATTTTATACAAAGTATTAAGTACCATATGTCTTAAAATTACATTTTATATACAACAAATTGTCACTATACTTGGTAAGATGAACAATTCAGGAACTTCTAAGTGTTTTTTATCAGAACCTTTGATGATTTCAGAAAAGCAATCAATTTATCTTTTATATGCTACCAGGTACTTCAGTCTTTGATGCTTGTCTTGGTTTTTTAGCTGGAGATACATGACACTGAAAATAAAATAAATTCCCAAGTTCATTATTACCAGTATTATGGTATTTATTGATTTACTGAAATTAGACTGAAAATTTGATGCAAAAGAAGCATAATCAACAGTGCTAAAAATATCAAATTTTGCATTTCATTCTTTTTCTAAGCACAATTTATAGGTCAAACACTTCAGATGCCTGCATAACCACATTTATTTATTGTAACCTCAGCAACTTGATGTGCATGACATAAAAAAAAGTGATTTCAACAATAATAATACCACAGAAAGCCCTTTTGGTAACATATACAATTCAACAAGTGAATGTATAGAGTTATTCTACATTGAAAATATACCCATTAAACATTTCAAAGTACTGTTACCTTTTCCCATCTCTCCAACATTTTTGCATACTCTGCTTCATAAAACCTGAACACCTCCTCGCAGTCCTGTAAAGAGAATTCATGAGTAACTTAGAATGGAATTTAAAAGTTTGGATTATGTTGAAGAACTGCACTACTTAGCATATTGACATGGTGCTATAAAAATTTAGATTTGAACATTATTTTCAAGAAGTATTCCAGAAACACTAACAGAATAGAGGAATTCTCCCAAGTTGACATAGCCCTATAATCAACTTATCGCTGAGAGAGTTGGTATAATTCTTGCAATTTCTACAAACCTGAGACCATCCCTGTTAATAACTGTTACTGGTTTGCATAACTGTCTTTAGTTCTAACAATAACAATAATAACATTTATTATTACACGACTCGGGCAGTCAGAGGGCCAATAACTAAAATCAACCAATCAAAATGCTCTATTGCTGGTCAATATTCTCTCAGTATTGGACCGGGCACTGTCCCGAATGGTCCCGAATGATACCGCACTTGTGTCCCTTTGAACTTCAGTCGTGTAATACACCTTTTGCTGATCATTTAGGTGAAAAAGATGTTCATTTTTGCGAAGTGTAGAATCAATAAGGCGAATATACATTCTATAACACCAAGAAGCACTTCATTAACGCCACGGAACATTCGAGAGCGCAATTTGCATATTTATAAACGATCAATAGTGTCAACGAACAAACAAGAGTATCTATCGAAAATCAAGGATGCCAAGTGAACATTTCAACACGGGCAATTGACAATCAGTAACACCAAAAGAAAATCATTAACATCTTGTGACAATCTCTCCTCTTATAGCTCGTCCTTGACTTCGTGCGGTCCAAATATTGTAGCCACACTCATCTACAAATACAGTGTGATTTACGACTGCATGACCCATGAACCGGTTTCCATATTCTACTCGTTTTTGAAGGACATCAGGGCGGTTTCTATCAGCCAGCAGAGGTCTTGCCAATTTCACTCGATATAAGATTCCTTCGAGAGCTCTCGCTACGGTACGGTCATGAATTATCGGCTTATGTGGAAGGCGTAGTCTCAATTCGCAATTCCTCTCGGCAATTGTTAGAAGGCAATTTTCATTGATAGTGTCATGCAGACAGTCCCGCATGGCATCATCTACTCGTACATGATTGGCGCCACCTTGCGGTCTTTCAGCTATCCTTCCTTCTCGGACGTAGTGTGAAACTATACCTCTTGCAGTCGATCTATTTACTCCTATAGTTTCAGCAATCACCAAATAATCTTCATGGACATCTTCAAAGGTGAGGACAATCCTTTCACGTTGTTGCAGAGAGATTCGGTTTCTGGGTGGCATTCTTTGACTCTTGTACTGTACAGTACTGTACTGTACATGTACCTGTATTACGCGGACAGTGTTACGTTCAAAGATATTCCTCCTTTTATAGCTGTCTCAGGAAAAGATTGAGCAACTTCAAATTTAAATGATAACCTACATGTACACGTACTTTCTTGCCTATTGGCCATTGTTTGTTATATTTTGACAACTGGTCGTGAACTCACTAATGAACACTTTTTTTCTTCCTATTGAAAATACTCATCATTCAAATGATTGTTCGAATCGCGGGATGGAATGTTACTTTGCAATGAATAATTGTCTCTTGATGCCATTAATTGTGCCTCTTCATTCTAATTGTCTTATTGAATGTTCCTTTTTCACTTATGATTGTCCGAAGATGTTATTGATTTTCTTTTGGTGTTTTTGATTGTCAATTGCGCGCGTTTAAATGTCCACTTGGCGTCCTTGATTGTCAATAGATGCTCTTGTTTGTTCGTTGACACTATTGATTGTTTATAAACATGCAAATTGCGCTCTCGAATGTTCCGTGGCGTTAATGAAGTGCTTCTTGGTGTTATAGAATGTATATTTGCCTTATTAATTCTACACTTCATGAAAATGAATATCTTTTTTGCCTAAATGATCAGCAAAAGGTGTAAATCTCTTATTAACCAAGCTTGCTCGGGACCGTACTGGAAGAATATCGGCCCTAGGTCTTTTTTGTACGGACCTCGCTGTGCTCGGTCTGTACTGTCAAGACCTCCGGCCGATATTCTCCCAGTATGGCCCTCACACTTGGTTCATCAGATATATTTATTTGTATTGTGCCTTTTCTATAAAATATTCAAAAGTGCATCACAACAGTAATTAATAACTAAAATTATACAATTTTTTCTATAAAAATCATAAATTATATATATTTATTTACATTAAATTAATGAAAGATAATTACAAATAAAAATATAGATATACTAAGAGAATTGAAATGATTCCTTAAATAAAAATGTCTTGAGTAAAATCTTAAAAGATGCTAAGTTCGTTGCTTCACGCACGGACCTTGGCAGCTTATTGGCAGCTTGGCAGCTTATTCCATAGGAAAATTTTCCCTTCTCCCTGAAGTTTAGATGGGGCTATGTGAACGTGGAAAAAATCCTATTTTGCCTGAAATAATATAGAAATCAACTGACCTGTCGAACATGATGGCCAGGAGGATTGTATTTCAAACAGTTTGACTTCACCAGCAGCATATCAGAATGGAATTCACTGTACTCCTGATATTTCCCAGACTAAAATAATACAACCACTTATGATTACACATCTAGCATGCTGTGATATTCTACCATCAGTAAATAACATAATATTAGAGTTTACAAAGAATTTCAGGTAAAAATGATTTTAAGCTAACTTAGGATGTACTGTCCAAAATTGAGTCTTGACCACAATCTTAGAGTAACTTTCATTGTGTTTTTCTAGTAATTTAATAAATAACAATGAAAAGTCCCCTTAGAGGTAAGTTGATAAAATTTGTATTGTTAAAATTGTACTGGTTTGATTCCTTCTTAATTTGTTTAAAGTACAATACCACTAAACATGTACCTTGCAAATGACACTACTTTGAAATCATTTTCATATAAAATCATTTCAAACTAAAACATAATTACACACTTTTTTTAAACATTGTCCTCTGGAAAAAAATTAATACTACATGTAAAAAATATTTTATGTCATTTGCATGTATCACTACTTTCAAGATGGCAACAGTAGTTTTGGCTGACTGTAAAAATAGTCTATCAAAAATCTTGCTCAATACAGCAGGTAATGGTACTAACCTCTAGTTTTACTCTTACGGTTCCAAAATCCATGGGAGTTTTTATTACTAACCTCTAGTTTTACTCTTACGGTTCCAAAATCCATGGGAGTTTTTATTACTAACCTCTAGTTTTACTCTTACGGTTCCAAAATCCATGGGAGTTTTTATTACTTTGTGGTAACCAGGTGCATCGTCTGGGTCCACTAAAAAAACAACAAAATCAACAACTCAGCTGAGTCACAATGAAGACTGATTCATAAGTGGGATGTAAGATAAAAAAAGGACGATGGTTTGTCTTTGTGTGTTTGCGACTAATAATACCGTAAGACAATATTAATAGTGGTTTTGATCATTATGTAAATATTTTTAATAAATAAGATTGTCATAAATTATGATACCAAAAAAAGTAAATGGACAAATGCATGGAGACATGCTGATGAGAAAAAATCTTTGAGAAGACAAGAAAAATTCACTGAAAAGAAGGATGCAGCTAAGAAATTCATTGCATTGCAAAAGTTTGTAACCCATCCAAGATGGGCTCTGTCCAAAGGTGCATACCTTCACCATTTGCATGTATGCTTTGCAAAGAAAGACAGATTTATTTAGGGGCTCTCCTTTTTGGCTGAGTAAATTTTAATTAGTAATTATCATCAGTCTACTTTACCTGGTTTAAGGAACCATGAAGCAGCACCAAAATCACCTTTCCGTCTTCCTTGGCCACGATAACTGGCAACTTTCTGCAGGAGGCTGAGAAAAAATGTCACCATAGCCTTATGAGGATCAGTCAGCATTTAATAGAATGCTCAGTAACTACAGTATGACCTTTACATGGCTTACTCATCATGCACAAAACCATCTCAAAAACAGTGATGACCCTGAAAGCACCTTAGACGATAAAATTTGACAAAATGATTTTTATGGATTTCAATAACTTTTCCATAAGCAGCTGCTGAAGGTGTATTAAGTTGCCGTGCTTGGAAAAGGGGCCATGGGGTGAGACCCAAACACAAGAGTGTGCTTGCAGGCTCAATAGATGATGATACCTGTAAGAGGTTTGATAGGTGGGTTTGACTGTTGGGAACCACTTCTTTTTTGGAAACCCCTCCATAAAATACCATTTAAGGGAGCTCTGTCATCATTATATTATTCACAGTTGCTTTTGCTATAATTGTCTTCAGAGGGAAAGAAGACCTGGTCCTGACTTACTTCTTAAACACATGTTAAAGAAATGAGAATGAGCTAAAAAGTAAAAGAGAAAGGTAAGGTACCATAGCAGATGATGGATTGCAAATGAGATTTGAAAACATTAAATGCTTGTTTTTCCCAGAAGATCAAGTCATCATGGAACTCCCTTTAACATATGATGATTAATAGTCTGGGTGATTGGCAGAGCCACCTTAAAAAATTAACAAACCTGAGAGCACCACGGACCCAACCACTAACTTGTCTCGGTGGTGACACATCAAGGGATGAAGGAGGCTTTCTCTTTCTTCCACTGGTTCTAACACTACCAAAGGCCTCAAGAGCCTTAATTTCCTTCTCTGTAAGCTCTATTGTACTTTCAGCTGCACTGTTAGAACTACTAGTGGATGTTGACAAAACATCAATGGGTGTATCAGAAACATCCCAACTATCATCCTCAGGTCGGGACAAAACACTTAAGCTTTGTCCTTCATCAATAACCTTTCCAATGTATGACAAAGTAGTGGAAGGTTCAGTTGTTTCCTTTGTTTTTTCCTCCATTGTAAATGCACTTGGAACAAGAATGGAGGTTTCCTGACTGGAGGATGGTAATTCTCTTAAAAATCCTGATGACTCATCAAGCTGATGATCATTAGTTGTTGCATGTTTTACTTCTTTGTATTTTTCAAATGAATTTCCTTCCATGCTTTCCACAAAGCTTTCAATTATTTGAAGGGCACTTTCCACAGGAGGCCCATCTTCCACAGATGTCCCATCCTCCACAGATGTCCCATCCTCCACAGATGTCCCATCCTCCACAGATGTCCCATCCTCCACAGATGTCCCAATCACATTCTGATCATCTTCCTGAACACCTTGAAATGACGTCTGAACAGCTGACTCCAAGTCGAATTTAAAAGTATCCTTGTCCTCATTATCTACTTGTGAAGACCCTGAATATATATCCTCAGGTAAACAATCTTCTACTAATTCAGATATTCCCCTAGAATCATCCAGTCTCTGAACAGTAACATTTTCCATTGATTTCTTAGCAAATGACGGGTAATTTCCGGTCGTTTCTATGTCACTAGTTGGTTCTTTCTGCACATTTGGTCCATCTTTATCCAGAAGAGTGACTTCAACATCTTGTAAAGATACTGGATCAACAGCTGCTTCATTGCAGTCTTCCACAGTTTGTAGCATATCCTCAGCACCATCATCTGCTGGATTTTTTACAGGCGTACTCTCACCAATATTTTTGAAAAACTCCTCAGCAGATGGTACCTCAGGTATGTTGCAGCCTGCACTATCAATTGTTTCAGAACACATAAGAAGAGAATCATCCTCAGACGAAGTGTTGTTATCACATTCAGTCACAACGTTCTGTTTATTTGTTACTGCCAATTTAGAGCTCACTGCAACATGTGACTCAGACTTTTCCACCACATCTGAACCTTGTGATTCAATGGCAGCATTACTCTGATCTGTAGAATCAAGTGCAGAATCTTGACTATCTGGTGGTCTGGGAGAAGGTTGCTCCCCTTCTGTGTTAGGAGACAAAACCATAGCTGCTACACCCTGAGAGACAGCTGTATTTACAGCTAACGGCACTGAAGACTGCAGCTGTGATACAGCATGAGCAGCTACACCAGTCGCCACAGGAACCAGAACAGTTGGAATAACAGCTGGTACACTCTTAACTGGAGCTGGCAAGATAGTTGGAAGCTTCCTGATGTTACCCGAATTGGAAACAGCAGTTGGTGCCACAGTTGATGGTTTAGGAGGAGCAGGAAGAATAGTTGGGAGAGGTCTTGATCTCACCTGAGTGGTGACGGTTGCAGTTGTCAGACTGGGTGCAATCTGTGTTGGCGATGGTTTAGGACAGACAGTGGCTAATGCTGGTGATGATTTAGCATCTTTCTTGGAAGCAGGTTGGGAATGAGAGGATGACGAGGAAGCCAGAGGGATTCCTAATCAAATATCAGCGACAGCAATGAATAAATAAATAATGGTAATTGAACTGAGTGGAGTAGAATTTGGAGCCAATAATAATAATAATAATAATAATAATAATAATAATTTTATTTAACATAGAGAAACACTTAGCTGAAAGCTAGTTTACAGGTTTTTCACCAAACAACTGAAACAAATAATTCAAATTTAAAATAACATTATTAAGAATCCCATCTGGCTGAAGGCAAACCAGTTGGCTATTTACAAGCATGGCCGAGGATTTGAACTTGGAGCTACCATGAAACAAATCCAGGTAGTGGTCAGGGCGGGACTCGAACCCGGGAGCCGCAGATTGTGAGTCCAACACACTGACCACTTGGCCACACTGCCTTCTATAAAGATTGCAAGGATCATTTATTTAGTGATTTCAAAATGGCTGTTAGTAATAACAACAAGTCCTTCCCTCCTCGCTAAAGTGGATTTGTGACTCAGGGGTTTCAAGTTTAACAGTCAACTTATTGACCTCCTTGCCTGTTGGAATTTTTATAACATGTGTACATTTTATCTTATCTGCTTGTTCACAACTCACAGAGGTACTAACACGCATACAGTATTGGAGTTAAAATGTTGTCAGTAACCTTATTATCCATACCCTGAAATTTAGCCACCTTTTAACTCAATAAACAAACTATAGACTGAATTATTTCAATCACAAATACTTACCTTGTGTCTTGGTAATCACCAGCCCTTGAGTGGAAGTGGATGGGACAGAAATATTGGAACCGGGTTGTAAAGGGGCTGGCACAGATAGAACCACTCTCTTTGAACCTACTAAGGTTGTCATGACAACTGTTTTGGACCCTGACGAAACTGACTGAGTAACAGTGCTGGACACTTGAGTTTTTGATGGAGCTTGGGATGGGACTGTGCCCACAGTTGTGATTACCACTTTGTTCACTGATGTGCTTTGAGTCACTGCCTATTAATATGTAACATACAAAAAAATGTACATTATTTTACAAATTGGTTTGACTAACATGGCTGCTGATATTCCACTTAATATATACCAGTTTTCTTTACACACATTCAATATACCCCTAGTTAGGGTGCACTTAGTGATATAAATTAAAGTATCTTGCCTGGGGAGACCACTAAATGACCCTGCCAGGGCTTGCACCCAGATCTTTCCACCTTGCACCCAGCAAGTTAAATATTAGGCCCTGCTGTCTCCCTTTAAAGTACAAAATGATCATAAACTTAAAATTTGAAATGCATTCTAACTTATCCAGATGAATGCATTGAACCTTACCAAAAGGAAGAAGGAGATCTGTGTTAAGTGGCAAACAAGCCAGCCTCCAGGAAAATCAAACCACTGGACACTCGCTCATGTATGTATAAGTATATGATACAACATATCAAGTTTTCTTTTAGCTGCAGTTAGTATCATGAGTTGTCAATGCTTTGGAGATGAAGCTAGATCTTTATTTGTTTGTTGAAATGTTTGTTGATGTAGATGCTGAGCCAATGGAAAAAAAAAAATGAAATAAATCTATCCATCACATACCTGAGAAGTTGACTTTGTTAGACTAGCAGGGCTGCTAGTCCCAGGAACCACACCAGCAACAGTTGTTTTGCTGAGACCTGTTGTCATGACAACCACAGGTTTACTTCCACCGACACCTCCAGTTCCTGGAACATGAATAACACGGACAACTGGCTGTGTGCTAGAGACAGGTAAGGTAGAGGAGGCCTGAGAAATTGGACTGGGTGTTACCATAGTAACAGTGGAACAGGTTCCCATGGTAGCTGGCGTGACTGACTTGAACTTTACAGTTCCTGGAAGAGGTTTGAATCTAGCAGGTGCTGGTTTTACTTTGTGTCTTGCGGCTAGCTGAGCAGCTGTTAAACCAGTTTTGAGTGTCAGTCCAGCAGGACTCGAAGTGGCCACTGGACTTGATGCTCCTGTTGAGACATTCTTCACAGCAGTGGATAATGGAGCCTTTGAACTCAGCACTGTCTTGGAAGGGACTCCAGATGCAGATTTTGTTTGAGTCTTTGGTGACGACTGTGTCACTGCTGTTTGGACTTTGGCACGTGATGATGTTACAGATGTCACTGCCTTATAGCTCAGGATTGTCTTGGCTTGTGAGACAGCTTGAGACACTGCTACTGTCTTAGTGAGTAGTTTCACTTGTGCTGCTGATGCAGGAAGAGTTGTAGCACGTGGAACAGCTTTAATTGTCCCTGCTGGACCAAGAGATTTACCAGACTTCGTCATAGTGCTCACTGATGTGGTCTGTTTGGTGAAAGCTTTTGACACCAGGGAGGGGGTGGGGATAGTCACTTTTGTCACTGGCTTGTTGAGGCTTGTCACACTCAGACGTCTTTTTCTCTTTGGCTTGCCATCATCATCATCATAAGCATCAGCATCATTTGATGGAGTTCCACCTTTGAAACAGAACAAAATTAATAATTTGAAACAGTAAGATGCCTTCCTCCACATCCATGAAGTTCAGCTATGGAACAAAATAAAAATTACTAATTTTGAACACAACCAGTTGGCATCCCACCCACCAGCTAAAACATCTTACTTCCAGAAGTGATTACACTGTAAAATCTGAGCACTTATCAGAATATCATGATATCATCTAGAAAACAGGTCATAAGAATGGCAGATGTACCCATCAGCTTGAGTTCACATCCTGACAAATTCTCCTAACCCTTAAACTCCCTGAAGTGATTAACATGTAACTTCTCCCTGCAATATCCATACAATATCCAGCAAACAAGGAAAGAAAATACTTAAGCTAATCACATAGAAATTGTTATCTTGATCTAACAGCAAATTCATGTGATAAAATTTACAAGGAAATGTAAAGCAGCTGGAGAGGAGAATTCACAAGCCGATCTTGGGAGTTACATGTAAAGAGTAAGTCAGTAGTAAGCAAGAAGGCTACATAGGAGCTTCAACTAGGAATTATAAAGTACTGTAGATCTTGGATACCAGTCTGAGGTTGTTTTATAGCTGTTGTGGTCTTGGTGCTGTTTTGCTGGCTTGTTAGTGAAGATGATGAGTTTACAGATGCACTTGAACTACTACCACCTTTATTACCTACAACAACAACAACATGACAACCCTTCCTCTTTATTAATGACTTTAATAAAGCAGGTCATTGGACTATGAACCTTATGAGGCAAAAAAACTCATTGGATACCCAATATTTATGTATACATTGTATTTTCAACTGAATTAATCTGAAAAAGCGTTCTGCATTGAGTAAAGTAGCAAGAAATATTTTAGGAACAACAGTGATCAGAAGAGGACGAAATAAAGTAAATGATTACAGCATCAGTTTTCTGTGTCATTCAAGGTTATTGGTTCTAGATAGCAATGTAATGTGTCTACAATTCGGTCACTGATTATCAGAGACCAGTCTAAAGCAAAGACAACAATCCCGCTTGTAGGTAAAAATCAAGAATACAGGATGATGGACATTTACACATAGATTCTTATCATTTGGGTTTCTTTTAAAATCTTTGTTTGAGAAGACTTTGGTAGACTGTGCTTGGTTTAAAATCAAAGAGGAATTATTCACAGCATTACCTGAAGAAACGGGCAGTTTGGCATTGGCTGCAGCAGCAGAATTTGCAGCAGCCGTTGCTGAGGCACTGAACACTGTTTGGGGTACAAGGCGTGGCATGAGTGGTACAAGCCTTCTCCCCTCTGCTGCCCATTCTGCACAGCTGCCTGCACCATAAATACTAGAATAGAATAACAGAGACGAGCCTATTAATTGTGGGTAAAACAGTTCCTGTTGAGCTAAAACCAATATCAAAACTGGCACTTTGGCAGTTCTTTTAGCAGACAGTGATGAGGATGACAGACTGGTGATCCTTTACTGCTAGAATTTTAAAGGTGACTAGGAGTATTGCTTCTCCTCTTGAACAAGATGTTTGTCAATTACAAAGTATCATCAGTAGTTTGTCACATTTCCTTAACAGTTTCCTGATATCCCTTTTTATTATCCAAATGTGTTTTGTAGAGTACAAATATCATGCGACATTTGTACTCCAGAAATATCCATGAAATTCACCGGCACTGAAATAACAATTTGGCATGTTGGATAATAAATCTCTTATTAAACATTTTGTTCCATAGTATCGCTGAGTATTCTTACTCATTGTTTGTATTTTGACTCGCCACAGGCTCATCAAAATATGGCACAACTTGTAAAGAAACTCAGCGATACTACACAACAAAACATCTGATAAGATATATGTACTTCAGTGTGAAGGGATTCAATACATAAAAGTCAAGCATCTTACCTGAGAAGACAACTCATTTTTTTTTAACTACTGCCTATTTGTCCCAGCTGTAAGCTTAGGATAGCAACTCATGACAATTATTTATTTCAATACAGAGTTAAATTATTCCCGCACCTCTCAGCCACAATAGCAAGTCTATCATCACTGTAGGCTCTTCGCACTTCAGCCCTGTGACGCTCTGTGGATATACTGTAGAGTGATCAAGATCTTTACATCAGTTTCAAGCATTACAATTAACTTTGCCATAGTTAACTCAGTATAATATTGAAGTTTAAAAACTCACATTGTAGCATTTTAATTAATACCTCAGTTGAGTTCCAAGATCTTGCAAGATCTTCTTTTTGGCTCTGTCAAAATTTAGTCAACAATAGTTTTCAATATGTAGGTAAAGATGAAGGCATAGAGTTTACATCCAGGTGGCTCAATTAAACTAGAGCTTATCAGTTTGGAAATCAAGGTGTGAATGAATGGTAAACTAGTCCATGGTGGGTTACCCACAGCTTTCAAACTCTTTGGCTTAAGATGAAGGCATAGAGTTTACAACCAGGTGGCTCAATTTAAACTACAGCTTACTTTAGTTTGGAAATCAAGGAGTGAATGAATGGTAGACTAGTCCATGATAGGTTACTCACAGCTTTCAAACCCTTTCACCCCCAGATTTATCAAACAGAAATCTCTCTTAACAATATTATTGCATTTTATACGCAGAACTGTAACTGTGAGAAGAAACAAAAATATAAAATACAAGATATTGTTTGACTTTTATCATTTTAAGAAACATATAGCAGACAGTGTGAAGAATTGATTTATTTTGAATCTAAGGATTCTGTTATGGAGAGTGCCCGTATTTTCTAGAAAGTGTTGTGATACATAATTACTAAAATAGAACTGAGGAAGTTTCTGCAACGCTTAGTCATGCTGACCCATTAAGAACTCTTAATGGAACTTTCTAGAACCCTTAGTCAGCTTATTTTGTTATTATGCAATAGTGATGTAATGATACTAAAAACAGTTGTATTACAGGTCCCTGGAATATTCTAGAACATTTTGTAAAAAATATCTAGGGAGTTGTGATCGGTTAAAGTTAGCTTTTCTTTTAGAGCAGAGCCAGTGTATTGTGAAACAGTGTGTTGTCATGGAGTGTCAATAGGGTTAGTGCTGTTGCAAAGAGCCCAGAGAAGCTAGTGGTATTACAGAGCCAGACTCGAGAGAACTGTTGGAATTACTTACTGATACTGGAATTGTCACCCGTGTGGAAGGCTACATTGAGAAAAGTTTTGTGGACATCGATCAGTTACAAGGATCTTTGTAGAGAACTGTGAGTTGTGCAGTAGTACACTGAGATTATAGTTTTATAGAGGGCTTTAAGACAAGAGGATAGTTATTGTACTGTTTATTCGTAGCCTTTCATAGTAAGATTATTACGTCATTGAATAAAGTAGTTGAGTTTGTACAAGTGATATCTTTCTATCAGTTGTGAAAATACTGTAACAATTCACAATTTCAGCTTTGCCAAAAGTTTTGAAGTTGGATGTTGCCAAAAAGTAGAGATGTATTGTGAATCAGGTTTCAAAAGGGAACCTATCCAGCCTCCCTGTATTTACAGGCTTGCACTCAATTTTCCACTAATATGTAGCTGGGTAAACCAGGGAAGTTTGGCCAGTTCTTGGACTTATACTCCAATGTGGAGAAAGGTTATATTAGAAAATAACACCATCATTATCATCATAGCTTGAAAAAGACCCCAGGATCGCAACTCCAAAGCTCTGGACATTATTTCCCATTAGAATATAATTTCCACACTCACCGACTCAACTCTCCTTGTGCCCTGAAAGCACTGATAATGGATGAATATGCCTCTAGCTCTAAACATTGCAAAAAAAGAAGCGTTTGATTTTTCTGGTGCTTTCCTAACCTTCATGGAAGCTTCAAGGGGGAACTAAAAACCTGCATGCTTGTCCAAAAACTCACAGATATATCTAAGAAAGGTCTCATTTAAAGTAATTTTACTGCATCACATTTTTGCTGCAAATAATATATTTGTATAGTATAGTCCACGTAAGATAGAGAGTACATTCGAAAAAATACAAATTCAGCTTACCAAGCCTCCTGAGGATCCTCTTGGCTTCATCTCTACTAACATCCACCATTTCTGCACACATTTTGCTTTTAAAAAATCTTGAAAATTCCTGACAAGCACAAAATTTAACTAAAAGAAATAAAAATCTAAAACTTTCAAATTTTTTGTTCAATTAATTCTTAAACTCCAAAGATCTGATTGTTTATTTTCTCCCCTCTAGCTTCTACACATTTCCTTGAAAATCATATCAAGATAAGCACTTGGATAAGTTTGATTATTAAAAACTAGATCATTGGATAATGCAATTCAAGACTTTTCATTGGCTTAGCCATTATGGTATATCAGCCAATATACCATAATCTACAAATATGGTAAGCGTACATGTCAGCTTAAAATTAAAAGGGAGCTAAAAATTTAATAATTTAATTTAACGTTTTTAATAAAACAATTATTCCACTCTCGCTTGTTGGTTATGAGATGATTATAGCCAATGAGGCGCGTAGCGCCGAGTTGGCTATCTATCATCTCATATCCAAGGCGCGCTCGTGCAATAATTGTTAAATATTATTTTCTCATTTATATATGGATATAATAGAAAGAAGTTACATGGTAATCACTATTAGGAACTGAAGCATTAATACAATTGTAAAGAAGTTGTTTAGAAAGATTTACAGAAAAATGTTTTTAATTAGTAAACGTGGAGCAAAATTCAAAGAGCTCTTAATCGTCACAACATACGAAAAAAAGCACTCATAAAAACCTAGTTTCTGCAGCTAATCACAAAAGTTAAAATGTTTAGAGTAAAACATTAGTGTTTTTCTAATTTTAATTATGATATTGACAGCACGAGCAAATCTTTAAACATTTGATGGATTGATAATCACACTCATTCGCATACTGCTCACTACCCCTTGGTCTCACAAGTAATGGGAACAAAGCAATGAAGATCAGCTGTCTTCTTCGACTTCGGATAGGATAATTTCTAGCAAAAACAACACTCAACTTTTTTAAGACCTTTGAACCCATATTTCCGAAATTTCCTGAGTTCCTGTTATCAAGAATTCTACTTGGAAGAAGCAGTCGGTGAAGGGTTATATTCTAAGTCTAGTATAAGTGCTCCAAGTTACGGGTTAATAAGCTTAACTCTACATCTTCGATGGCAAGCTTCTTGCCCGCGGACGAATCAAATTTGGATAGCATTCGTTTCAAACGTTTTAAAGAAGCACAATTAATTTAAAATAACGTTAAATCACAATATCATTCCACAACCGAAGAAGCAAAGTGGTAGGTTATAACATTACCTAGAAATAAGGCGTTACTACCATTGACAATCACCGAAGGCATACCGTCCGCCATGTTGATTCATCCTATGCTATTACGCATGCGTCATCGTTATTTGCAAACACATTTTCCTTGCGGGCTCATTGTCGACTCGAAGGAGCTCGAGCTGTCATAGTCAAACGGAGCATTTGAGGAGATTCCGCGGTTCATTTGGGCCCAGATATAACTTGACACAGCTTTTAAGGTAAGAAATTTATTAAGTATATAACATGGTTCTTATCCGCCGAACAATGCCTTCGGATGATAATGCAGTTGAAGTCTCCGCGCTGCAGATATTCGGAATTATTTTTATTATTTTTCCATGGCCGGGCACGAAATCAGAAGAGTTTTAAGAACACTGTTCCTCTTGAGTTTTAAGGCTTTATCTGTGATACAAGAGATTGAAGCTTTTTGAGAGTTTCTAGTATAAATCAAGATCAAAAGTGTATTACTTTTTTATTTTAATTTTGTGAACAAAACTACAGTTGATCGGGTTATGCCAATGAAATGTCTAGATTTTATGAGGGCGTCACATGCATACTTGCATACGATTTAATAATGCACACACCTCCTGCGATTATTACTCATGTATCGATGCTTACTTGGAATCTACAGTGTATAACATCTTTACCCAATTTCCACCCGTTTCTTGCTCAAGTCATTCGCCATTCGTTCAGCAAAATTCAATTTCTTTCCTTACCAGACATTGGTTTGTTATAAATTATGCATACAGTCTTATTTGTGTACGTAAATCAAGGGCTCTTCTTGGATTCCTCGGTGCATAGGTGGTAACTTCAAACATTTCGATAATATGATGTTGCTTTTTCAAAGAGGATCAAATAATTTTTCCACTTTAAGATTGGAAGATTTTGCAGCAACCAAACTGAGATACTTGTGACAACCACAAGAACTTGACTTTTTTTCTGTTAAAAGGTTTCATCATCCAGTCAAACTTAAATTTCTTCACAGCATTAGTTGGGTAAATAATGTACAGATGTGATTAAATTATTTGCATAAATCGCTTAATGGATTTTAATTTATTGATTTGTCAGCAAATTGAATGATAACCCAGCAGACCTAGAAAATTTCATGGTGAAATACAAAATGTAACAAATTTTCTTTCTTTCATGCCAGTGGAGCCCACTGTTTTGAATTTTAATAAAACATAAACCACACAGGAAACAGGTTTCAAGCTTAGAAAACTGTTTTCACAAACATTTTAGGTGCATTTCATTTTACCGACAGATATTATACAATCTACATGACAAGAATCAAAAGCTTTTTTATCATTTTTGATCAAAGCAGCTACTTGATCAATGCCTATTGCTTACTTGTAGTGATATGTGTTTAAGAGTGATTTCAACACCTTACTGTGCTAAGGATGGATTTGATAGAATTCATGTAAATCATTCTGTCGATAGTTTTACAATAAATGCTAAAAAATATTGCTGAAAAGAGCTTCCTACATTTATGTACACCATTTTTTGACAGTTGTTATCTGTTCTTAGAGCCTTTTTTTGTGTGAGAGTAGTGTCCTTTTATGTCCTTTTCAACAGTGATCTTATAACATGCAACACTGATTATATCTTGCTATTAAAGAAATTCATAAGATAGAGATAAGTTCTTTTAATTTGTAATAACAGTTTTGAGGTGTATCACTGTTATGATTATAGCTGTCATGATTGTGTGATGGTCCTGACTTACACTTATCAGACATTCTATGATCCCCTTGTAGTTTGCTCCATCAGACAAACAAAGTATTTAATGGATCCAATTACTTTCAGGTTCCATATGAGTAAACGTTATATGCACATGTAATATGTCATGGGGAATTCTTCTTCCTCATCATCATTGGCACCGAAGCACAACTGTCAGGTGGTGATAGTAGGGGGTGGTTATGGTGGAGTCAAGCTTGCAATAGACTTGGACAGTTATTGCAAGGTTGTTCTCATCGATCCTAAAGATGCTTTCCATCACAACATGGCAGGATTACGGTGTATTGTGGAACCATCATTTGTCAACAAGACTCTGATTCCTTATGAAGGTGTTTTAAAGCATGGGTCCTTTGTGAAGAACCGTGTGGTGAGTTGTAACATCTCCAGAAAGACTGTGACACTAGCTAGCAGTGAAGAAATCAGTTATGATTATCTTATCTTTGCCTGCGGCTCATCTGTACCATTTCCAGGTAAAGTGTATTTCTGCATGTCAGTGTATTGTAAAATGCTACTTTCAGATGTAGTTTATATTATGTTTAGCATATCTTTTTTGACCTGAAAATAAAAGTGAGAGCCCTATACTGATTGAAATCCTTGCTGCCCTGCAGTGTGTTCAAAACTATTGACAGAAACAATCTTGATATCAAATATAATTACTGTATGTTAGAGTTGGCTGATATTTGAAAATTTTGATGCAGGGAAATTTTAAAAGGTTAGATTTTAGGTTCATTGAGAAAGTTTATAAATCAATCCAATTCTACTTCAAGCTGTGTTGCTAATACTGTCACGGTGTCTTATTATTATAAGACCTGCAAACTGGGAGATAAGGAAACTAGAAGTAGTGACAATATTATTTATGGTGCAGTGGTTTGCATTTGTATACTAATTTTCATGATAAAATGCCGTAACTCACCAAACATCCCTAAAACATCTAGGTGTTCACAGTTTTCTACTTTGTAGTTAGTTTGACAGTATTGGAAATTTGACTCGACGAAATAAGATTGTCCAGTGATTCTTTACAAGAACATCAAACTTAGTTTGTTTTGTACATTATTTGCCAATTCTTCTTCAATAATAATACTAACAGTAAGTGTTGAAAATGTTTCCTTCTACTTTTTGTAGGTAAAGTTCCCCTTGGAACAAGCATGAAAGGTGCTCAACAGCTCTATAGAGATTGTGCAGACCAGGTATGCTTCAGAACTGAAAAAAAAACTCTTTAATAGCACTGTTCTAAAAGAGTGAAATTAACTGTCACTGTATGTCTATTAAGTCTATTTAACAATTTTGAGGTATACAGGGTGTAGTCTGCTTGTATAATTTTGAGGTATACAGGGTATAGTCTGCTTGTATAATTTTGAGGTATACAGGGTGTAGTCTGCTTGTGTAATTTTGAGGTATACAGGGTGTAGTCTGCTTGTATAATTTTGAGGTATACAGGGTGTAGTCTGCTTGTATTGATGAGCTGAGGGAACTGATTCAAGATTCAATGCATATGTTGTAGTTCAATTAATTTTATCCTTGTTTCAAATTTTATTTTCCTTTGTTTCAAACTCATTATCATGCATTAACATGACTGAGAACAAAGGAAAATAAAATTTGAACCAAGGATAAAATTGAACTACAACATATACACTTAAAATATGGCTGCAATTTAAAACATAGGTGACTACATTCTAGCAAAAACTACAGTGTGATAGTCCATGTTACAGTTGCATGCTTGGTTGCCAAGCCTTTGAACAGGAGTGAGTAAGGGTGACTTTGTTATGATACAAACATTGCTGTTGTTCAAATGTAATGTTAACTAGATACTGGTCTCTTTCACAATGAGGTCACCTTCAGCCTCACTCCAAATAAAAGGCTTGGCAATCACTTACACAACTGTAAAATGGCTTATTATTTCTTCTATACTTAGGGATAATTTACAGTAGTTATCACAGTGCAACAGTGAGGACTTTAAAGAAGGAACCCCCTTAATCTTGCTTTGTGCTTTTTCAGGTGACAAAGAGTAACAAAATTGTTGTGATTGGTGGTGGTCCTGTGGGAGTAGAGTTAGTAGGTGAATTAGCCACAGACTTCCCAGACAAGAAAGTTACTCTAATGCACAACAGGGAGCAAATACTGGATGACAGATTGTCACGCAAGTTTGTTAAAAGGATTCAGGATGGAATGAAGGCTCTGAAAGTGGAGACAGTCCTTGGGGAGCGAGTTGACATGGATGACCTGAATGTGAGTAGAATCACAAAAATATTATCTTGGAAGCTTTAGGTTTGAAAGGTTTCCAGAGGAAGAGGAACTTGTTGGTGTCTTCAACCCATATTCCTACTACCTCTGATCCTTTTTTTTTATTTTTAAGAATTCATTTTTGTTACCCATTACTAAAAGCTTGGATAAAAATGATCTTTGTTTACAGTTTGATTCGGACAAACCATGGATCACAGGGCCAGTGACACTTACTACAGACCAGGGGACCAGTGTGCCTGCAGATCTGGTGTTCCGCTGTACTGGACTCAAGGTCAATTCAGTTGCTTACCAATCCAAACTCTCAGACAAGATGGAAAAGAATGGAAGTCTTAAAGTTGACAGATTCCTTCAAGTAGAAGAGATAGAAAATGTGTTTGCCATTGGAGATTGTAACAACACCCCTGAATTGAAACTGGCATACACTGCAAAACTGCATGCTGGTAAGCGTGATCTTCAAAATGAAAAGAATTAGTTTGATAACAAATGTTGATCATACACATTTGTTCCTTTTACAACAGGATTTGTTGTTGTAAACAGTATTTGTACCCAAGATGACTACTTTAGAGGCCTTGTGGTACCCCAAAGACATCTCAAAGGGGCAACCATCTTGGACTGATTAAGCCTATGTGTAGCTGTACCCACCCCCCAAGAAAAACGGGGAAGGAATGTCTACGAAAGGCTGACACAAATCGTGTTCTGTGATGTCAACCTTTTGCAAGGAAATATATAATGGTTTCTTATTGGATAAAGATTGCAAGTAATACTTTCGAGAATACTGATTGGCTAAAATAGATTTACCACATTTTTATGTTCCATTTTTTTCGATGGCCATTCAATTGATACATTCACTGAAGTCGACGAAGGCTTGATGCTTACAGTTGACTCCACTCGCTTTTTGGGTGGTGATGACAGTAGTGGAGAAAACAGTACTGAATGGCTAGGGACGTGAAGAGATTCATCATTTACAATCGAAAATGAGCTGTGTCCTTTGAGTTGAGGCCTTGTTGAACTTATATTCACGCCCTTGAATGAATTTTTGGCTGGAAAACAAGGCCAACTTTCTTCAAACTTGTCGCGTAGTTGATTCTCATCGATGTTTGTAGTTCGTCCAGGTTCACCTGCAAATTATTTCTCTTCTTGAGGAGACCATGACACTGCCTAGAAATATACTTGGATAAAGCGTGCACATGGAAATCCAAATTTGCGAGCGCAACATTTACATCGAAGATTGTCTTCTTTTCAATCTCTTTAAAATACAAAGTACACTTGAAAAGGGTCATTGACTTGCAAATAAACTCAAAAGAATTGGATAATTACGAGGTCTTTGTCTGCGCGAGGACACGTGTGCAGCCATTTTTTTGCGGAATATATAATATATTTACATAACTTGCATAACTTTCTGTGACATCACAGAACACGATTTGTGCTAGCCTTTCGTAGATGTTCCCTCCCCGTTTTTCTTGGGGGGTGGGTACGGCTACACATAGGCTAGGACTGATTATGATGGAAATGCTTAAAAAGTAATTAAGGGAGGTACTTTTCACAAACAAAATTGGTTCTGGCACTCTCATTTGTAAAGGAAACCTATTGTGTGGTTCCAGAAAATATCCATACCCCCCACTGAAGACTTTTAGATTTGCATGCCCCACCCCCCAGGATTCTCTGTTGCAGGGGGTCTTTGATGACCCCCCTCCCCCAGGAATTTTCAAAATTTTAATCAGGGACTTCTTACCACCCTCGAAAATTCAAAGCAGTTTTTGTATTTATAAAAAGAGAAAGTGAATACTAAGTTGGTTATGTAAATGCAGTAGAATTTTATTACAACACTGAAAACATTAAGGTTAACTTTAATAAAAATATAACGCTTTGTTAAGCTTACACTTTTAGCTTCTTCACCATCATTTTGGCAAATCATATCTGTGTTGTTTTTATGTAAGATTATAAGCTTAAACATCTGGGTTGCAAAATTTACACTGATTTAAAATGTCGACCGTTCCACGTAAGTTTTACATGCTAACTCCGATGAGAACTTTTCACTCACTTAAACAACTTTGCAAATGATAGTAAATAAAACAGAAACTTACAAGGTTCCTTTGTCTACACATTTGGTCACTTTCTTCAAGTTGATTCTTATTTAAAGACCGAAAACTTCACTAGCACACACATGTTAACTAGGTTTCATGAACATCGTCACAACTTACTACAGTAGCTAGGTAGCTGGGCCTTCTGAAGATTAAGCAAGAAATGGGAACGAAAGTACTCCAATAACCATGAATAATGATAATATTTGACTCTGTTCCTAGCTTTGAGAGGTTGTAGCACTAGCTAACTCAAAGAAAAGCAGAAACATTAAAGCTTCTAATGTTAACTTTATCTCAATGGCCAGGAGAACTGACTATTGTTTCAAAACAATGTACGCGAGTATGTTTTTGAGCTTCAGATCAATTGTTTGTTGCTTTCAATGTTTTGTATGTGGTTCGTCACCCTTTGGAAAAGTAGTTTCCCATGAAAGCACCTACCCCTTGGAAATTACTGCCCTTGAATCCCCCTTTCCCCTCAGAATTTCCAATGATCTTCCGTGGGGGGGTATGGATATTTTCTGGAACCACACATTTCGCAGGATAGGTGTCTGTCAGTAGTAGTTATTGCAATGTACTACCTAATGGTATTTTGTCTTCAGATGCAGTTGCTGAAAATATCAAACGGCTTAATGAAAGCAAACGCCTGAAAGAATACAAGCCTGGTAATTCAGCCATGTCCCTACCTCTGGGACGGAATGGAGGAGCGACACAGCTTCCAAATGGAATGGTTGCTGGAAGCTTCTTAACCAAGTCCCTCAAAGGAAAGGATGTCATGACACCAAGCTTCTGGAAGTTAATGAAACAGAAAATGCCATCTAATTGAATGGCTTAACTTTTGATGGACTATTATGGACTCCAGAAACAAATGGACCCTTGCATGACTTGATCACAAACTTGTGGATCATGAAAGGTTGTTATGATATGCAGTGATTTAGAAGGTACTAGAATTTATGTGCAACATTATAGCCAAGTTTGAAGGCTAAACAACTGTTACAAATTTGTATGCATGAAGTCATCCAGCACCTTTTTCCTCTCCTTGCAAATGCTGTTAATTGTGACACCAAAATAACAGCAAAATCTGGCATTTTAAAGATGTGGCTTACCAATTCATCAACTTCTTTTCATTTTATGCCATTTTGTACCACAACTATTTTCCATGATTGACTAGTTCATGTGATCAAGTCATGCGAAAGTCTCTACTCTGTACATTTTATGTTAATAGTGATATCAGTTGCTAAAGTGTGTGGGTGACACCACTTCTGTCTTAGACAGAAAGTTGCAATGATAGTGAAATGAAGCATCACCCCAACTTCACAAGGGGCTACAATCAGCAATGAAGTTGTTGACACAGAAATTTTTGTTCCCCCTCCTATAAGTCATTTTTATTCCTTTTGACCTTGTGACCATATTCTATTTAACCCCCCTCTCCCTGCCCTGTTTGCTGTGACCTTCTGCCACAAAAAACAACACTGAATAGGAGGGGACTATCTTAACAATAACTTAGTACAAATAACCAGATTGTGTGATATTTTAATGTATTATTTAGGTACAAGGTGTGCATTAATTTTATTGTGAATTATAGCCTCAAACATAATACATATGGTGCTTGAAGAGCGGAAGTTTTGGGGAACTGTTTGTGGTCCTGTTGTAATAATGAATTGTACATTGTGTTTCATAAGTTGAGCACCTGTTAATTTTAAATTTGACAGCACCTTTCATTTATTTTGAATAGCAAGAGCCTACACATAGTCTTATTTATTTTAATCATTTTAGAGAGATTTTCAATTTGGTGTAAATATATTTAATCAAAATAGCCCATCAGGAGAAAGACAAATATCACAAGGAACCATTGAAAACTCAAGGAAGGGGAGTGTAAATGCCTTGTATGCATAAAAACACAAATTGAGCAAGTGGCAATTGGTTTTGTTTTGGTTGAGAGGATTGTGATAGTTTTGTCTGATCACAAATCAACGTCAACTGTGGGCTTCTTTTCACCCAGAATTGAAAATTCCTATAAGTTATTTATTGTCAACTTTCTTCTTTTCAGTGAGACAAAGTTACCTGTTACCCATTGTCTCGGACTTAAGATCCAAAGGGGTCTGGGTACGAGTCTTTGTTATTAGAAGTGTACCTAAGGTAGATATTACCATGGGGGATGGGGAGGGGAGTTGGCAGGGACTGTACAGAAGTCTTTATTTGCAAAGAATGTTACCCTGATGGAAGAAATAAACGATTCTGTGTATGCAACCTGCTGATTAGATGTAATTTCTGTCCTTCTGTCTTCATTGGTAGATCATTGTTGCCTGTCTTTTCCTTGTTCTGTCTTATCAAGCTGCTCTTTTAACCCTTTAGTTTGGGATGTGAACCACAAATGAAAGAATTGAATTTCTGGAAAACTCAATGAGAACTGTGTATGCATGAATTCATCTCCCAATGAGTTATAGCATTTTAAAGGGAAAGTACGGTGTAGAAAAAGTTTCTCAATTAGAAGACTTTTTCCTCAGGGAGTTCGAAAATAACTGCCATTTTGTCTAGTTTGCTTTGTATTTAGCGAGAAGAGCGCTTCGAAGTTGCCCATTTTTACAACTTTCGTGGTTGGAAAATCGCTATCTTGGATATTACGTCATTGTGACGTAGCAATACTTAGTGCAACACGTTGTCCTTGTTGACTAGTTTGACCTTTTGTGGAAACAATTTCTAATACTCCCAATAGTTGATATGAGGTGAACTGTCCTGTTGTTGAATGTCAAAATACATACTAAAATTCAAAAGGAAAAGGTGTAAGCCTCTATAAGCTACCGGAAAGTGAAATATTAAAGAAAAGTTAGCCGGCAAAAATGACCCGCGACGACGGCTTGCCGAACCCTGTAAAACCTCAGAACTGCCAGAACGAAGACTTCCATGCATACGCTTTACCAAGCGGTGTACAAATATATCTTCAAGTAAGTCAAGTAATGTCTTTACGTGGGGCATGGTTACCCATATTGCCCGAGCCAGAGGCTCATGTATGAAACGCAAGACAGCAACCCACCCATCCCACCCCAGGGGAGGACATCCATCACATAGTAATCTCGTGTGTGGGAAATTAACGTCTCCTACCCCTAACTCTGCAGGAGACGGGACCTCCATTTATTCGTCCCTATCCGAGAAGACTAGAATATCTAAACCATTTGTTGATGTTATAGAAAGGCAGCATATTCTTCTCAATTATTTTAAGACCTTGAGT